AAACTGAGTGGCTCTTCCAGATTGTGATCCAGTATCTGAGATAAAGTGCACAAATCGAAATCATACAGAACAGAGGCATCGTCGGTGTTTTGGCTAACTCCATTATTCTTGTTGTAGGTCATCAGAGCGGACACAAATCCATTGCTATCGAAGCCATCGGCGAACTTCTCGTATGGGGTCATAGCCTTGTTATCATCATCCTTGGACTCGAGGTTCACTTGGGTCACGGTGGCATTGTTTTCGGCAGACACTGTAGCAAAATAAATAAGTTATCATAGGGTTATCAAAAAAATAGTTCCGGCTAATCGTACCGTTGACCATAGGAGATGAAGACTTCATCAATTGGCCTCCAACGCTTGAGACGCTGCCGCTATCATTGCTGACGCTCGCTGAGGTCTCGCTGTTGCGGTCCACCTCCACGATGTTAAGCACTACCATCCGCAGGGCCAACTCTCCGCTGCTCTGGCGCACGCTGACGCCCAAAACAATCTTGGATCCAACTACGCCGGCCCGAAGCGTGGACGTGGAGGTGATATGCTGGGCATTTACACTGCCAAACTTTCCACTAGACACATCATTCAATCCTGAGTGGCATCCCGCTCCACTGCTGCTTCCTGAGCCGCCATAATTTGCCGCCGAGTATACATAATTCACTTTGGTTCGAGCTCGTGCATTTGGTAGCACACAAATGGCAGTAACCCGCGCCCACTCGAAGCTCTCCTCGAAAAGGTAGTTAAGCAGTGTCGGAACATGAAAGCTGTGCATCAGCTTCAGATGGCGCTCAATGCTCCACACGCTCAACTCTCCAGTTTGCGAGCAACTGGTGCAGAGCACGTTCGCATAATCACTGTTGGAAATGATATCGAAACCTAGTCCTGGTGCTGGCAATGCGGGATTAGTGGCGTACGTTATGGACAGCGGGACATTCTGTGTGTACTCGCCCTTGACAAATGGACACAGTGGTGAGTGCCTCTCATGCTCGCTCCACGGCTCATCCGTCTTCTCCCAGCACACAAGACACACGTTGCAGGTGAAGCACATGGCGCGGTCCTCGCCAGATGATGATGGCTGATGGTAGAACCCGGCCTGAGCCATCTGATCGGGCAAAGCCCATTTGTAGTCCATGTGCGGCCACTTCTCGAACGTCTGGCGACGCACTGCCTCCGAGTGCATGAGCACGCGCTGAAAGTTGCTAAAGTTCCAGCCAAAGTCCGGCACGCGGGAGCCCATCAGCATGTCGGTTAGACGCTCATTAATGGCGGAAGCGATGGCCAGTACGGGAATGTGGCGCTCCAGGCGCTTCAGTAGGATGACCATATTATTGGATACTAGCTTCAGGCTGGAATAGGGTACCTCCAGACATATGGTATTCCACTGAAACGAATTAATCTGTCAGTATACAAAATTCAATGTATTAAGAAAATAAAATACCCGCTGGGCCTTAATCCCCTTCTTGGCATTTAGCTGCGCCTGGTTGATCTTCTGCGTAAGCTCATTGCTAATGTCACAGGGGCACTCCAAACCCTCACTTTCCAGTTCGGTGATGCAGTTCTGAAAGATGATCGCCTCGGACAGGATGATCTCCAGCTTGATATAGTCGTCATTTTGGCCAATTGGTGCCTGCAGAATGGTGTCCAGCAGCAGGACGCCATTGTAATCGCCTCGCAATCCGAGGTTGTGACCATCCCAGAACAAGATCTTGTCCTGCAAGGGCATATAACGCCCGTGAACGATGCTGTCGCCTGAAGGGGGAAACCAAACCAATGAAATCAATAGAAAGGAAATGCATATTTCATCTTAAGTTAATCAGTTCCTGTGCCACCCCAGCCATTAATTCCAATCAAACAATCCGAAAAAATTGAATTTTAATAAATGTTCAATAAAAGTAGTTTAAGTATTTACTAATAATAAGTCAAGGACGGAAATCCATGGCAAATGCTAATTTATTGTGAAATGAAAGCAGATTGTTAGATAACGGGACTATATCCGTGAAATTGAAGACCGGAACTTGTCCGAAAATCGTTTCCGTGGTACAAGTTCATGCGTGGCGGGTGCGAGGGGGGCCATTGAATAGCACAACTGCGTAATAGAAGCAAAACAAAAACAAAATGCGTGCTGCTGGCGGCTAATCGCAAACAACAAAAGCATTGCGATAGGACAGTTCATAAAATTTCAGATCCCGGGGGTGTCACACGGATTGGATCGAATTATCACTCTCCATTTAAGGATTCCCCCCGAGCTTTTGTTAAAAATTGATGACAAACGCATACACAAAAAACTGCCAGCACACACAGCCTCACATACAAACAAGTGGACAAGTGCAAGGCAATTACGTACAGAAATGCAATACAGTAAACCATCGCTACGACGAACTGTTAAACTATGTTAAGGGCCTAGCAGGTAAGCATTTGAAATTAGCTTGTACTAAATGCAAAGCTAGACTGGTAAATAATGCTAATGAAAAAAAAAATTGTGTCTGTCACTTCTTTAGCATTTTCAAGGGAATTCATAATTCAAATTCAGATGAAAAAATAACATATTTTGGAAGTTTCTTAGAAAACTGAGCGTTGTTATTAATATTATATTTCTTGGAATTTGTAAATTTTAAATATATACAGTGGTGTGCGTCTTAGTAATTGATAAGTGGTGAAATTACTAACAGAAATCGTTATTACAGCGGTTTTCTAGTGATATGATTCAGCCAATTCGGATCTTCGATGAACCAGAAGAATATTGATATATTGCTGTTTTTCTCTGTGTGGGTTCTAATTCGCAGTTCTCTACTGTATTGACATTTGTGTGCGCCAGTGTGAGTGAGTGTGCCCCATACGTGTGTGCATATGTGTGATTATTTTTTTCGCCCAGGAATCTTACCATTGCTATTGAGCTGATAGGTCTGCAGGATTACACCGGAATTGGCGTCCAGGACCTTGACCGTGCTGCCGTTGTCAAAGAGCAAAAGGACATTTAATTGCGGATGATAGACGACGTTGCGCATCTCGAAGGGTCGAGATGGAGCGCTATTACAGTCGCCCAAATCCAAGTAGCCATCTTGCTTGAGGACGCGCTGCTGGTGATGCTGCTCCGTGGCCATGCCGGAGGTGCGCCGCTGCGATTTGTGTGGTCCTGCTTCTGGTTGGAATACTCTGTGCGGGTTTTTTTTTCGCAATTCAATTCGGAAAATAATTGGCTGCGAAACAGAGTTCTCTGCTTTTCTTCTTCTTCGTTTTACCCCGTCTTCTTCTTCTACCTTCTGACAGATGTGTTTGCCATTCGATTGCCACCAATCGTCTGTGAATGCCAAAAATAAATCGAGTGCCCAGTGGGCGCGCGAGTGTAAGGGGGTGTGGCCACGTCGTCAGCAAAATAAATACATTTAAAAATAAATAAAATAGTTTGCTTTGCAAGCTAGAGAGGAAAAAATTCGGCCTGCTACGCTCAAGGTATTCGATAATTCAGAGCTATCGCCGGTCCGTCGATAGGTAGAGAGACATACATTTCGAGGAATCGATTCTACGAATGTCAACAAAGTGGAAATGAGATGAATATTTTACCAAAAAAACGGTGAGTTCTACACTGAATTGGTAGCTTACAATTATAAATCCGTGTGTATTTCTCAGCTGGCATGTGCGTACCAAGGAGAACATTGCCCGCGTGCGCCGGGATCAAGCGGCTGCCGCAGCGGAAGAAAAAGTCCGACAGGAGAAATTGGATTTTGCTGTGGGTATTGCCGAAAGATCGTGAAATTAACATATTTATGAGTTCTTTTTTTGTCAAGTAGGAAAGCGAGGCACGAATCAACTTTCTGCGCCGCCAGTCTGGCTTGCCGGAGAAGGTTTCCCAGGAATCTCAAGAGGAGCCGCAATGCAGTACTGAAACCACCAAAGGGGTGGATCTCTTTGCCGACTACAAGGCGAGAGTGAAGACCACCAACAAAGACCTGGAAAAGGAGCAAAAGGAGGAGCAGGAGAAGTATGAGAAACAGATCGGCTACCTCACCTACTTGGGCCAGGACACCAATGAAGCCTTAAAAGTGCGCAGCTGGTACGAGGTAGCCCCCAATAGACCCGAAGTGGGAGATCCCAACGCAACTGAGGCTCATCTCAAGCAAAAGCTAGCCCACGATCCTCTGACCCTCATCAATGCGCTGTTGCCACCAGAGAAAAAGGAGCCCAAAAAGGCCACCAACAGAAAACGTGAAAGGACACCCACTCCCCCTCTGGAACCTTCAATACCTCACAAAAACAAGAAATCCAAGAAGGATAAGAAGCATAAAAAGCACAAGAACAAGAAGGGTTCAAAGGAGACCCTTCTGGCCGAGGAACGCCAAAAACGAGAAAAGCTCGAGAGGCTGAGAAGGGAGCGCCTGCAACGCGAAACAGCTGAGCGCCAGCGTTCCGAGGCTCTGCTCGCGCCCAAGGAGGTGCCTGTGGCTGCCAGTGCAGCATCAACGCCAGCTTCCACGCCTAGAATTGTCCAAAAGTACAACAGCCAGTTCAATCCGGAGTTAGCGAAGCAAAATATGCTTTAGGATTAAGTTTTCAACCTAATTTTAACAGCCTAGACTTTGAATATATCTTACTTGGACATCAAGCATATAAGTAGCAATAGTCTTTGCTTAAACATTTTAATATAAATTTTTATAAATACATTCTTATGTAAATATCGGCTTATTAGTCAACACCCATCAATTTAATACGCAATTAATCAAACGTTACAAGAAACCTTTAGGCGGAAGTAGTTGAGTTTTTGGCTTGGTCATGGTTTAAATTTAGATGTCTGATAAATCCGGTTTGAAGATAACGGCCACTTGATCGGTGCCGAAGAGGCCAGTGCTGCACAGCGTGTGAAGCGGACAAACTATTAACTGATTTTTCAATTAAAATAGAAAGATAGCAACTTAATATGAATTAATTAAGATAGGTTATCAGTTGAAGGTGAGAGTACACTATCGACCCAACGAATTCTGTCCAAAAACTATCCCAGTTTGAATTCTAACGGCCGTCACACAAATGCGCAACAGCAGGCTGCAGTATTGATAAACGTCGCGGTTTGCGGCACATGTGAAATTCACGTTTTGGCTCGGCGTCTTGGCGTCTTCGTTTCTATTTCTTTGTTATAATTTGCCTGCGGGTTCAAAACTCATTTGATTTCAATTAATTGTTGTGCACGAAAAACAATAGAGCCGGGCCAAATGGATGATAATACGGAGAACAACGATGGAAAGCGCGGTGAGTGGATTTCAGAGCAGGCTGTGCAGAAAAAGCAACGGGACAAGTAAGCCGGTGCTCCAAAGTCGGCCATTTTCGGGGGCTCCTTTTGGCAAGCTGCTCGGCCTTTCATTCGATCTAACAAAGCTAATTCGTAAACATCTCTTATCCATTCAATCCAATAAATATGGTAGTGACCCGGGCTCGAACTCGTCGCTTGTCCCTTCTGGAAACGGACAGTCGTCCGACCACTCCACAGTTGCTGGAGTCGGCGGCGGATCGCGGTAAGTTGTAGCCTAAATCGGATCCCAGGTGTGACAAGTCTAAGACTATGATTTCTCCCATTAAAAGATACCGGTTCGGCACGTGCCACACGCCGCACACGCCTGAACTCGTCCACTTTAGATGTGCGGACACCAACACGAACCAGGCGCGCCTCCTTGGCACGCGGGGAGACTCCCGAGCCGACTACGCCCTCTTCGGTGAAAAGGACAGCTCGCACACCAGCCAAAAACAGCAGATCTGTGCGCCAACAGCTCACACTCACAGAGGAACCGGAGGAGACTGAGGTCAAGCAGGAAATGCCCAGTCCCACGAGTCCCGTGCCCAAGGAGAGCAAGGGAAGAACACAGCGGAAGCCCAGTGCCAGTCCTAGTCCAAGGCGAACAGCCACACCCACTCAGCTGAGTGATGAGAAACGAGTGACACGTTCCATGTCCCAGACTCCGCCGATGGCACCACGTTCGTCCAGTAATACGCCTCGTGATCTTAACCATTCCCCCAAAGTTGAGCAAAAATCCCTAGACGTAGAGTCTGCGAAGCCTAAGAGCAAAAATAAAAGCACTCCCAAAGTGGAAGTCAGGCTAGAGAAACTTTCGATGGACAAATTCGGTGGCAAGAAGACGGAGATTGCGAAGAATTTGATTCTACCGGATGAACTCAAGAATAATGAGGCTGTTGAGGAGCACAATAAATCTGTAATTGCAGCCCCTTCACAAGCACCAGAATCACACCAATCAACACCACCTGCCAAGGATAATGGCAAACAATCATTCCTGAAGACATTCACCACACTTTCGAAAATTCAAAGTTCAAGCAAAGCTCTTCACACTGATGACAGCGCAGACACCACTACGAGAATGACCCCAACAGCAACTTCCAAGAAAATTGAAGAAAACATGGATAATATATTGGAAACTTATCAAAAGGCTCCACGCGTCGAGTCCCCTAAAGTTGAAAGAAAAATCGAGACTCCGCAGAAAGTTCATCATGTTGCCATACTTGAAATTAAGGAAGACGACGAACCCATTGGGGTAGACAATGCAATTGAAACGAAAACCCAAACTCCCCAGAAGATTGATTCTCCTAAACTGGAAAGCAAAGTAGAAACTCAGCAGCCGACTGATCTCCCTCAAATGGAAAAGAAATCCGCTACTCCACAAAGGTTTTCTACTGTGGAATTGATAGACACAAGCCAAGAAAAAAATGAGTCCATGGAGTTTATGGATGCAGAAGATTCCGATGTTCAGGTAGAGCTACAAAACGATAAGCCAGTAGAGGAACCAGAACAAGAGGAGTTTGTAGACCTGGACGACGATGCGCCGGTACTTCCTTCCGAATCTCCAACAAATATAGAAAATGCCGAAGACAGTGAGGAAGCAAACCAACATGGTTCTATAGACGGGGAGAAGCAAAGCCAAATCAATATTACCGACGTTGTTTATCTGCCGGACCTAACCCCCGGCATAAAATCTCGTGTCGTGGGTTCCCCTGCTGCGGAGCAAAAAAAAAAGGTGGGCTTTAACAACGACGCTGAAGACCTTGAGGTGGAAAAGACACGGTTTCCCAAGACTCCAGGCCGTGAGAAGGTGCCAGTTTGCCGCATTCTAACTCCCAAGCCGGAGACACCCTTAAAAATGGCCCTAGAAAAGGGTCGAAATAGTTCCACACCCATACTAAAAGATCCGTCCATCAGCAAGGAAGAATTGCATCCGGCACCTGCCCAAATTGATGCTATCAAGTCATTCGATGAGCTGGAATCAAAGAATGTTGAGGATGAGATGGTGGAACAATCACACATGTCACGGCAAAAGGCTGAGAATAAAATCCTTGATCGGCTAGAAAGCTCGGAGGAAGAAGTTGCATTTGAAGATGGAGAAAATGGAGATGCAGAAAACGAGGAGGAGCACGAAGAAGACAAACCTATTTCCGAATTCGTTGACCTAGAAGCCGAAGATGCTGGGGAAGATTACATGTCTGGAGATTCGATGGACAGTTCGATTCGCCGGGAGATGGAGGAGAATGAAATCCCAATCGATGGGGAGTCCGTGGGCAGTAAAGATACTGAAGAGTCTGCCCCAGAAGAATCTGAGGGCGACGATTCCTTCATTGTCTCTGACAATGAATGCGAGGAGGATTTAGGCCAACTTTGCTACTCCTCCGACGAGAATGAAATTGAAGATGACAAGTCTGGTGGCAAACGTCGCCGCATTGTTTTGCCGAGCTCCAGTGAGGAAGAACATGATCGGGATGATCACGACAATGACTCCAGTAAGAACAAAACGGAGAAGCCCAAAAACCAAAGCAACTGCTCATCCGATGCCAGTAAATTGAGCGAAGCTGCCCAACTGTTAAACGCCAGCGAAGAGAAGTCTTCCATCTCGGAAACCGAGCTGGAAAGATCTCGCCAAATCGCTCTCAACGAACTGAACAAATCGGAGAGATTTAACAAGACAGAAACGCGACTCGATGTCAGTGTGATGGAGGTGGACTCTTCGGATCACGACGAGGAGGAGAAAGCGCAGAAGGTTGAAGCCAATGGCGAAAGAAGCCTGTACGAAATAGTGGATTCCGATGAAGGGGAAGAGCAAGAACAAGACGAAACTGATGCACATGACCCAGCTGAAAACGGAAACCCTCCCGAAATTCCAAAATCCACATCTTTCATGACCCAAAAGCCTGAAACCAAGAGCAACAAGAGCGTGTACGAGGTAATGGATTCCGATGAAGGGGAGGAGCCTAAGGCGGCCGATGAAAACGAGGAATCTAATAAAGATAAACCAGCAGAAGGCGAAAGCCCTCCCACAATCAAAAAATCCACAATTTCCACTGCGGATGAAGAAGCTCTGCTCGCCGAATTGGCCTCTAGTGATCTGAGCCATTTGGAAAAAATGTTTAATCCTCTCCAGAAATCACGCCGCCAGTCCTTGTATGTCCCCAGTCCCGAGCTGGCAGCCAAGGAGCCGAAACTGAGACGCCGTAGTGAACGGGCTCATGTTGGCAGTGACTTCTGCCCCTCGCAGTCCTTTGTTGATATGGTGGCCGAGAAAAAGAGTCAGAAAAACAAGCGCAAACGTCTGTCTAAAAGCCTATCAGGCGCTCCAGAGGATCTTGAGGAAATGGAGATTCAACACGAACGCAAACGTCTCAAGAGCTCACATGGTGCATCCACGGATTCGTTGGAGGAGGACAACGAGGACGAGATAATGGCTGTCGCCGAGGAAGATCACAGCGATAGGGAAATCTCGGAAGATGATGTTCCCAATAAAGAAACGGCAGTCTGTTCACCTGCAGAGGAATCTCCTGAAAAAGAAGAAACTGCCGCTATGGAGGAGCTTCCCCAGGAGGAGCCAAAAACTTCTTGCGAAACACCGCCATCCGAAGAAAATCCGACCGAAATGACAACTTCTAAGCCGAAAGAAATGGCGCCGGCCAAGATAGAAAGGACTGCCGAATATTACTTGGCATACTGTCACAACCTCCTGGAAGCTGCCAACGAGGCTAAGCTAAAGGAAAAGAAAGAGGTGAGTTCCTTAACATCATTTTGACATCTAATTTTCGGATGACACTAAATTGGTTTATTCCTTTAGCATCTCGCCAGAGGAACGAAGCAAAAGAAACCAAAACGACTGGCTGCGCAAGCGCCTGCCAAACCCCTTGTCACCATGGCTCCAGAACCGGAAACCATTAGTGCGAGATCGTCCAAGCAGCCAGCACCGCTGAAGAAGGATGTGAAGCGCCTGCAGGCAGCACGCCAGGCTGTGAGTCATGCTGTTAATCTACTGGCGCCACCGAAAGCCATCGACGCTGAGGTAAGCCACAGACGCGTTAGTTAGTCACCTGACAAATAAGACAGCAACCAAAACCCTTTTTCCTCCGCAGCCTCGCACGCTCTCTCGGAAATTGTCGCCGCAGCCGCCAGCGGTGGACAAGAAACCGGCCAAACAGAAGAAGAAGGAGAGGAAGCAAAAGCAGAAGCCCCAGGAGGCATCGCCGTTGAAGAGCTCCGATGAGGAGAACCACGGCAATCGTATTCGAACGAATGCCGGCTACGTGACGGTGGTCGATGAGCCGCCCAAGAAAGTTCCCAAAATCGAGCTGATTAAGACCAGTTCGGGCATGGTGCGAGTCGAGCCGTGCACACCAAAGCAGAAATACTTCCGCGAGCTGCCGCCCACACCGAAAATGCATGGGTTCCGCGAGGAGCCGGCGCCATCCGGGCTGTCAAGGAAGCGGGCGAAGCAACAAGCACCCAAGGCCGAGCACAATTCCGCCAAACAGGCGGCGCTGCGCTTCAAGGAGCAGATATTCGCGCGCAGGTCCTAGGATATATTACATTAGAGAGAAATTAGTGGAAACGTCAAGTGTACTCAATGCATACTTTAGTTTTTGTTTCTTTTCATTAACATTTCCCAAATTGAATTTGATTATATTATTTGTTCTTTGAAATATTTGTTACAAAATCCCTTGCTCCTTGCAATTTATTTTCATTTTGCTTATTTGCACATCACTTAACCACAATTACCATACACATACCTCAGAAATAAATTTATGTTTGTTGAATTCTAAGCGAGTGCTTGCCAGGTTGTTGATCCAATCAAGATATGAAATCGATTGAAAAGTATTTTACTATTCTAGGTGCACAATCACTATAAGAAATTGTCGGACTTGTTCCTTTTTTTTTGAGCATGTGAGAAACAAAATAAAGGTTATCGATATAAAAAGAAAATAACACATTGATTTTAATAGAGTTCCAAAAACTCAGGGCTAGCGTAGCGGATTGTGGTAGCCCTATTATAAAACTTATGTCACTTTAAACTTGTTCCCCATCACTAAGCAATTCTCTGGAAAATCGTCCGTCATTTTGCACATAACTTTTCCGACAGTAGTCAGTTTTCATAAGCCAACAATGTTCAAGATATGTTAGTAAAATGCTATTCCATCTGCCAGATTTGTGTTAGCCTTTTTCACCTCTGCTTTTAGTGCTTTCGCCAATTGCTGAAGTCAACAGCCAGGATGAGCTCTCTCCTCAGGTCAACAACTTCCAAGGACCGTCTTTGAAGCGGAAACGCAGGTCGCACAGCTTCTCGGTTTCCTCCGGCATTCTGGAGAGATTGGGTTTGCGGCAAATGAGGAAGCGCGTTAAGCTGGAGGACCCTGATGAGAGATCTCTCAAAAGATCTCCCAAAGCGAAGGCCAAGTCGGAGGAGAAGAGACTGGCCCCAAGCATATTGCGTAAGAAGTTTGGAATCCGCGTGTCTAGTATTTGGACCAATGCTGGCTACGTGATGGTGATCAGGGAGCCCAGGATGCCCAGCGTAGAAATAATTTATTCCAGTTCGGGCAGTTGGTTCGAGAAGCGCTAATTGATCCACAAAACTTAAGAAATATATTTATATGTATACATTTAAAAAAAATAGAGTATTCAGAAAACAGGTATAAAAAAAAAAGGCTGGAAGGGTGACCTCCAAAGTGAGCTCAACGAAGAAGAAGTCGATACAGAAGCCAAAGTCCCAAAAGTGCATGCCCATCCAAAAAGCTGGAAAAGATCACAGTGCCCATCAAGTCAAATATGCTTTACAACGTTGCGTTAATTGTTCTTGTTTTTCAGTTCATTTATGAAATTTATGTTTATCATTAAAAGGAGCTTCAATTATTGTGAAAACTAGTTGATATTGTCTAATTAATTATTTTAAAAGAACTCACAAAAGTATTTAAAATTCCGTTACGCTGTGGGTTCGGTGCCTAGCTATCAGTTTAGCCGAGCTCCCAACCTGCCACTGGTTGCTGCGCCGAGCACGGTTGGCATTTTCAAAAACCAAACTACGGCCACACCCGTATGCTGCGCTCTCATTTTTCGTTCGAATTTTGGACCGGGCGGATTTAATTTCAACGCTGCTCCGCGACTTCGAATACGAGACCGGCTCCGGTTGTGCGCTCCTGATAACTACGATAAATCGAGCGCGAGCGCCATGTACAGTGTGTCCTTTTGCAGGAAGTAGAGTTTGATAAGTGCTGAGATCGCGGCCTGGATTACCAACGAACAACGGTGTTGCACTGAATTATAGTTTTTGTGCACTGTTTCGAAATAGAACCGTTAATCGGGTTCTGGCATTAAGAAGCAGAGCGGTCGGCGAAATTCCGGCGAAATCAGGCGCCAGGCGGAAACATCGATCAAAACAAAGTGCATGCTAAGTACATAAAGGATATCACCATGTTCGAACTGGAGGATTATTCGAGCGGCATACACGAGGGTTTCTTCAGCAAATATGCGGTGAGTTTAAGAAAAAAAAAGAGAACAAAAAAAAAACGAGCTACGAGCGGTGAACGAGAATAATAACTTTCTGCACACATTTCGCCGGCCGGCCGGCCACACACACACACGCACCCACACACTCGCATGTGCTCACGACACAGCAGGCGCAAATTTTGAATTTAACGGTTGGTCTCCACGTTCCCCACACCCCAACTGTTCCCATACCCACCTGAAGCTGAAAACCCACCACCAAGAACAGTTTGGCGGCGAAACTTTGGTTCCACTCGCCATCTCGCTCGCCCCTGCGGCCAAGTATTCGCCGCCTCGCTCGCTCCAAAGCTTTGTTGTTGACTCGCCAATTCGCCCTCGCCGCGTTTAACGTGCAATTTTGAATTTCATATTCGCCGCCGTATATTTACTCGCGTTTCGCTGCGAGGCTGTGTCCATGTGTGTGTGTGTGTGTGTGTGTGTGTATGCCTGTGTTTACTTTTGATCGTTAAGCTTTGGAAATTACCTTTTCGCTATTCGTCCCATAAACTGATGATTAATTACAACCGGAACGGCGAGCGCCGATAATAAATAGTGGAAGTGTAATACCAATGCGTTTGAGGAAGTGTGCTGTTTATTTTGGGGGTTACTAACTCGGCTAGCCGAAGAATTCACCTCTGTTAAGCTACTGTTATTCGCACTAAACAGTGGACATCAATTCACTTTTCACGGAAGGGGATTGCCAGTATTATTCTACTTGTGTCGTTAATACACTTGGATTATTCTACTCTGCCGCAGCCAGCACAAGTCGTTCTTTTGTTGTATCCATCCGCAATTATTTGACTTATTTATTTTTTGTCACACACAGCGGTGTCTGAAACAATAGCACAGCTTAGGATATCTAATTTCTAATAATTTATGGGGCTTAAGAATTTCTTATCTAAACTTTCAAAGAGAAACTCTTAAATCTAACACAGTACGGGTGAGGAAGAAACCGTGGAAAAAAGTTTTCAAATATAAGGATAATTAGTTTAGGATAATCAATCAAGTTATATAATTTTATTTCTTCCGGTGATTTTTCCATCAAACACTTTCCACAGTTAGGCGGAAGTTAATTAACTTGCAATCCTATTCTCTTGGCCGCCACTGTGGCACTGAGTACTTTAGTGTGTTTCTCCGCCGGTTCGCTGAGTTTTTCGTCTGGGCCTCTTCTTCTTTGTCTTTTGCGTTTTAAACTTTTTGAAGGCCAAGCGTTCACCTCGAATCTCTTGGTTTTCATCTGTTTTAGCCTGTTTTAGTCACTAACCAACCAAGTGGCAAATGATTTTGGGCCGGAAAGTGGGCCTAAGGCTCTGAAGTTTGCGCTAGACTAACCGCCAAAATCGGCAATCCGTCAGCAGAACTGACCTCCAGCAAAGTTTGCACATTTTCAAATGGGAAATCAAAAGTGCAGACTTGAAAAACATGTGCGCCTGTTAATTGCAACATGCAAAACTCCACACTCACACACACACGCACGCACAATCTACAAGTGTTGCGAATTGCCAGTATGCCTATGTGTGTGTGTGTGTGTGCGAAGGGGAACAAAGAAAAGCAAACAAAATAAATCGTTTCATCTTGTGCGCTTGTGTGAGTGCGAGAACAAAACAAAAGAAAAGCAAAAAGCAACAGTCGACAATACTTCCCACATCAAAAGCTTTTCTCCCACCTTCGCCCATCTCTTTCGCACCGTTCTCTTTCCTCTCCGAGGTTTCGGCAACCTTTGTTGCTGCAACATGGCAGCAAAGAAAGAAATTAGCGAAACAAAAATCAAATCAAAAAGCCAGCCAGCAGAGCCCGGCAAAGAACAACTTCAAAGTTCAACGCGCTTTCCACTGGGCTCTTTCAAGTGGGGCGATTTCAGTGGGTGGCGGCGCACCTACCCCCAAAATGCACAGAAGGTGGGACAGAGATGGGCATACAAGGGCTGTGGGAGGCCTGCCACTTGTCTGCATTTCGCTCTGCTGCCGAATATGAGCGCCCAGCTGTATGCCGCATAGATTTTCTCACGGCCCCAGCACACACACACCCACACACACACCTACACAAATATGCAGAATCACTCACGTGGGGCAGTTGCTTTTACCTATAGGAATGTTAAGATATAGAGCGCATAAGTCTTGCAATACCTTAAAGATATTACAAAAAACGTGGATACTTTAAAGCTTTGCTAGTTAATATATAGCATAGATTTATTACAAATAAAATTATTAACTCTGAAACGGCAATCATATGTATTTTCAATAGGTATATTGATTTGTTTCCCTTCTTTCTATAAGAAACTTGAAATCACCATGAAACCAAATGTTTGTTTTAGCCATAAAGTTGATGATCAAAGAAGTTATTGTGCTTGCATTTCATAAAACTCGCCAGATCCTCACCGAAAACCAAACCAACTAATTGCCCCAAAAAACCCTCAAAAAAGCAGCGATCCCAAATGAATTTCCAGGCTAAAAATAAACATTTGGCAAGCGCTGATTTCTTATTTCTTGAAACACATGCCGTTAATGAATGAAATAACCCGGGAATCTGGCGATTTAGATTTGAAAACGATTTACGACCCGGGATCATCTTGTGTATTTAAGGATGCAGCCCGGTTGGCTGGCAATGCAGGCAATTCAGGCAAACGACTTTTATTGCACCATAAAGTAATTTACAAATGGGCGCTCATGACCTCAGGGAAGATTCAACCAGAAAGGTCCACGGAAATCGTTGCTTTTACCTGAGTGAGGGATTCCATTCCACACCACTCCTTAGCATCTTCCTGCCTTCATCATTTGCCATCTCTTCTGGTGTTTTCTCTGTGTGTCAGCAGAGTGATTTCCTCGGAGGTGAAAGGCGGAGAAAGATGGAAAATAATAGGTGCAGCAAAAGAAACGAAGCAGATGCAGGAAATGCAGAAGAACACGTACAACAATCGCCAGTGACGAATCCTGCCGAGAAAGGACGAAAATACCCTCGTCGGCTGCTCCTTGGTTCGTTGCACAACTTGAAAGGGCCAACTGTAGGCAGCTGCAACTGAGCAGCAACAACTTTTTATGGCCGGGGAAGGGGGGCTCACGTGGCCACGGGCGGGGCGGAGGGGTGGGGGCTCTGTAGGCCTTGTCGAAGTTTTACTGACAACTTTTGCATTTTCCTTTAATCCCCGTGATGGCCAAAAAGACCTTGCTGCAAACTTTGCTCGCCTGTTCAATGCATTTTTATTTCGGCACATTTTTTCGAGAATTTTTTTGGGGGGGCAAAAAGTAAGAAAAAAAAAACAAGAGCATGAAATTGAGATGTGGGGACGGAGAAAGGTGTGCAGGCTTTTCATCTTCAAACTGACTTGCTAGGCCTTTTGCCCAGGTTTCTGAACGCCGCATGCGAAAGCCGGTTGATTTATTAGGTCTCTCGTGCTGAGGGATTTATTAACCCTTCACCCGCACACTGTCCTCGACTTGCCCCCTTGAAAAAAGGTGCGGAAAGTGGCAATTCTTTGGCCCCGGAGGCCCGAGCTGTAAACTAATTAGAGCCAGGAAGTTTGCTTTCCGTTGGCGCAAATGCAATTCTAAACTGTTAACGATTCTGGTTTTGGAATTGCAGCTTATGGCGGCAGGAAGAAGAGTAGAAAGCTACAGTGGTCTACCGATAATGCCGATGGCCAACTCGCATAAAATAGACTCATCGTATATTCCCATAAAACTGATACATTTGTGCAGCTAGTTTTTACTGATAGATACAAAACTAAATTTGCATTTTGTAAAGGGTTGAAGATATCGAATTAAATTAGAAAAACCAAACATTTACATAAATTTGCTAGGGCAATGTAATGAGAACGCCTCAGCTCTGTATTGTGTAATTCACTCAATCGATCGCTTACTGTACCGCAAGCAACAGAACAAAACTACAGACATATCAACCCTCGAGTTGCAGCTGCCTGAGTCCGCTTCCCCTGCCCCTTTTCCTCCAATTTCGACTGGAAACTGGCGATTCAACAGAGGGCAGGCCAAAAGGTTATCACACAGACAGGGAACGCACACACACACACACACTCAGCTTGGCAGGAATTCAGCGAGGGGAGGTCGAAGGAAATCATCCAGCTGAGGAG